GCCCTTAGTAGAGTACCCTGGCACATAGAAATCACCCAACAAATCTTAATATTAACACAATATTAAGTAGTAAACATTCAGGCTTTGCAGTCAGACAGACTGGGGTTTGAATCACACTTCCAGAGTCCAAGCTTCTTTCTCTATGCTACCTGTTCCTCAACACTAGTTCTACGTTATTCATTTAAAAAAAAAAAAAAAAAGACTCTGATGCACGGTATAAAGAAACAAGTGGGCTGGGCGCAGTGGCTCATGTCTGTAATCCCAGCACTTTGGGTGGCCAAGGCGGGTGGATCACCTGAGGTCAGGAGTTTGAGACCAGCCTGGCCAACATGGCGAAACCCTGTGTCCGCTAAAAATACAAAAATTAGCTGGGCATGGTGGTGTGTGCCTGTAATCCCAGCTACCAGGGGGGCTGAGGCAGGAGGATCACTTGAGCTTGGGAGACGGAGGTTGCAGGGAGCCGAGATCGTGCCACTGCACTCCAGCCTGGGTGACAAAGTGAGACTCCATCTCAAAAAAAAAAAACAAAAAAAACCAAAAAAAAAAAAAAAAAAGGAAAAGAAAAGAAACAAGTGGCAAATATTGCGTAAGTACAAATGATGGAGGAATTACTTCCTACCAAGGTGCAAGGAATAAGGGTGAGGAGGTATCAGACTTCAAAAAGGCCCTGGTATTTGAACTGAGCCCAAAAGGATGTTTGCCGTAGAGAGAAAAAGGGTAAGAACATTGAAGATTGAAGGGACAGCATGTGGAAAGGCATACAAGTAGTAAAGCACATAGTACAGTTGGGAAAACAACAGATTTTCCAGTGTGGCTTGACTGCAGGCAAAGTGGGGCAAGGCCTGGAGTAGTGTGAGGCACTTGAGAGTGAGAGCTTCTTTCTTTATTTCATTCTAGTCCTGGCCTTGACTTGGAAGAATGTTATGAGAGATGGAGATAGAAAGGCAGACTTGTATTAAAGGGTGCAAGGTTTTGAAAGCCTTGATAGAAAATCTGGTGGTAGTTTATAGATTACATCCCATTGAAGGTTGCTCTTTTGAAATTGGGGGGCAGAGTTGATAATTAGTGGCTGCTAAAAGTCCAGACTAGACAGATGAAAAATTCACTCTGATATTATCCCCACACAACATTTTAGGCCAGGTGACATCTGAAGTAGTCTCTATTACATAAAGTAGCCCATAATATTTATCAAAAAAGGGAGAAGGAACAAGAGGCCTGAGTGAATGATGAATTTTTTATTTCAATTACACCCCAGAAAAAGAATTGAGGAAGGATTCTACCCTCTACAAGTCAGAACAAAGGCAATCATCATCTTGCTTGGATACACACACACACCCACCCACACACACACCCACCCACCCACCCCCCAGTCACCCTGCTCTTTGGCTGAGATTGAAAAATTCTACAGGCATAAACTGTTTAAGTATCTGCTTTGGAGTACATTTGGGGCACAGAAGTATTTAATCAGGTCACAATTTGAAGTTTTCCAAATATAAATGCAATACCCACAACAGGAATTCTAGGCTAAGGGAGCTGTGATAAGAAAAAAAAAGATGACAGGATAGATGTATAGGTAGATTAGACAGACAGACACATAGATAGATATAGATAAATAGATACACAGACAATTTTAAAAATTATCTAAATTACAGGTGCATGTCACAAAAACAGACTGCTTTTTTCACCCATAATACACTGTTGGGTCTGCCTCCTTTATTTTAACTTGTTGATGCAGAATATACAGCAAAGGTAAGCTTTACATATATTAATCTAGGTGTGGCTGCCAAAACTAGGGAAAATTACACTGTTGTTCTGACATCAAATATTTGAAACCACCTACTTGGAGTTAGCATTGGACTCTACAGGTTTAAGGGCACAATCCCCAACAATGCTGCCCCCGCTTTAGATCAGATACCAGCCCCAATTCTCAGGAAGCCACCCATCCTTCTGACTGACCACTTATAAATTCAGGAGTTCCCATGACATTATGAGGTTTCATAATTAACTGAAACAACTCACAGAACTCACGAAAAGTGCTATTCTTATTATTACAGTTTCATTTAAGGATACACACAGGACAAGGTCTGAAAGGATCCTGGACACAAAGCTTCCATACCCTCTCCTTGTGGAGTCAGGAAATATCACCCTACCTAGAGAACAATATGTTCACTAACCAAGAAGCTCCACTTAGCCCTGAATTTCAAAGTTTTCACTGAGGTTTTATTACACAGGCAAGATTGATTAAACCATTGGTTATGTGACTGAACTTAATACCTAGCCCCACTACCTTCCCTGAAGGTTGAGCTGGCCCAAAGTTCCAACCCTTTAATCATATGGTTGGTCCTTCTGGTGACCAGTCCCCATCCTGAAGCTATCTAGGGGCCCACCATAAGTCACTTCGTTAGCATAACAAAGATACTCCTGTCACACAGGAAATCCCAAGGTTTTTTGAAGCTCTGTGTCAGAAACTAGGGCTAAAGATCAGCTATATTCTCTATTATACTATACCATACTTGAAGTCTTCTCTGTTGACATACTCGAAAAAACACAGAGACAAGAGACAAGACAGCTTGAGTAGAAAACCATAAGCTGAATGCTGTCCCCAGTATTTATATTATCAGAATTCTGGAGAGTAAAGAGAAGAAAATAATAGGAGAGGGTAGGAGACGAGGATGTAGGGGACTAATCCCTACCTATGATTTTGCCCCACATGCCTTGTATCTATCCTAGATTTTAAGTCTAAACAGGAGGGCCTAAAGTAGTAGAACAACATAGTTTCAACTCTATAAACTTGGTATAAACATAAGAATAGGAGTGGGATTAGAAAAAGTAATTTCTTCCTAGCAACACTTTCTTACACTGACTTTGTATGTATTGTGATATATGAAGAAATAAGCATTTGATCTTTTTTATTTTGATTGAAATTTGAAATGAGTTATTTTTTAAATTTAAAAAAATTTTTAATTTATATGGATATGTAATATTTGTACATATTTATTGGGTATAAATTATATTTTGATATAAACATACAATGTGTAATGTAATTGAGATACACATCACCTCAAATATTTATCATTTTGTTACACTGAGAACACTCCAAATCTATTCTTCTAATTACACTGAAATACATAATAATTATTGTTAACTATAGGCACCCTATTGAGCTACTGAATACTAGATCATATTCCTTCTAACTGTGTTTTTGCACCCATTAACCAACTCCTTTTTACACCCCATCCCCAATACCCTTTCCAGCCTTTGGTAACCATAAATCTTTGTCCCATATTCCTGGCATAGAGCTCCTAGAACCCTTGCTATTTCCTGATAGGGATAACAGAAGCATCTTTTGTTACATGTGGCTTTAGTCTCAAGCTCTTGACAATAAGACCCTTGGAATCTCTGGAGTGATAGGTGTCTTTTTTTATGCTCCGAGATGACTGGTGGGTGAGGGCTACTAGATAGCTTCAAGATATGGATGGTCACCAGAAAGATCAAGGCATGATTAGAGGGTTGGAACTCAGCCTCACCCCTTGACCTCCAAGGAGAAGAGAGGGGCTGAAGATTGAGCTAATCACCAATGGTCAGTGATTTCATCAATCACGCCTATGTAATGAAACCTCTATAAAAACCCCAAATGTCTGAGAGGTTCCAGGTTGGTGAACTCATTCATATTCTGGGAAGGTGGTGTACACCAAATCCACATGGATGGCAGCTTCTGCATTTGGGACCCTTCTGGACCTTGCCATAATGTACCTCTTCATCTGACTTTTAATTTATATTCTTTATGAACAAGTAATAGGAAATAGAGTTTCCCTGAGTTCAGTGGGCCCTCATAGCAAATTATTGAACCTGAGGAGGGGGTTGTGGGAACTCCCAACTGGGAGCTAAGTCAGACAGAAGTGTGGGTAATGTGGAGATCCATTACTTGTGATTGCTGTCTGAAGTGGGGGAGGGCAGTCTTATGGGAATGAGCCCTTAACCAGAGAAGTCTGCACTAACTCTGGGTAGTGTCAGAATTGAATTAAACTGTAGGATACCTAACTGGTGTCCTCAAAGAATAGGAGAATTGCTTGGTGTGAAAAATCCACACATTCTGTGCCAGAAGTATTGTGGGTAGAGGAACCACTTTCTTTCACTTGGTACCCAGTGGATGCATGGGGCAGGGGGAAAGGAGGATACTCAATGTGAAAGAGGACAAGGACTTACCATGGGGTTGCTACCTGTGATGGGACCAAAGAAACACATCCTAAGGAATGAGCAGAGATCACAACATAAGAGGGCAAAGGGTATGCAGAGGGGAACTTAGGAGACTATCCATGAAGCAGTTTCTGTAGGTGCTCCCCAGAAAGACCCTCCTCTGAGGCCCAAGACAGCAGGGAGAGAGAGTGTCACATGGAGCAGCAACCCACTTTGTGTCCCTCAATGGGAATGAGATTCTGCTGCATGGGGCTGAGACCCAGGAATCCCGTTGGGGGTCGAGAAGCTTGGAGTATCCTAATGAGAAATCCTAGGTGAATGGCTCACAGCATCTAGGTTTCCTCTCCTCGAGTCTATGTCTTCTCCTCCTTTTCCTAGAACTGCCAGGATTGAGGTTCATTCCTCTCTTGCATCCCCAGTCAGCTGGAGCCTTGCAGTAAAAGGCAGATGTATGTGTTCCCTTCTCCTGCCCTCCTCCACCCTCTGCCAGTTTTGAGCTGATATCAGCCATCCCCACTGCCTGAATACTGCCAGTAAGAAGACACAGAGTAGAATGAGTGCGGATGCATAGCCCATGGTTCCCATCCCCACCCCTGCCTTTCCTGATCCAGCACCACAGATGTTCACGAATTGTCACTTCACCATTTCCCCGCTCTGGGCTTCCCTGAAGCCAACTCCATCCATATGCCCACCTCCCCCACCCACACATACAAACACAGGGCACTCACTGGGCTGGGAGCCTTGGGATGAGGGGATAAGGGTGTTCAAAAGGCAGGAGGGAGCAGGCGGATCCGAGGCATTACCTGCACCCGCATCTAGTCTCAGTCACCACCTCTTAGGGATGGCATCTGCCGTCCTTGCACCCACTTCCTCCAATAGCAACCGCTGCTCCTTTCCATGAATGAGTCAGGCAGGTAGACTCTTTGCTTCTTGAGCTCCTGAACAAAAGACAGATCAGCTAAGACGCTCGCGGTTGGCTGAGGGATTGTTTCCTTTACCAACAAATGCTGTAGTTCCGGTCGCCTGAGAAATTAGTTTTCAGGCTGATGCAGCATGGAAAGACACCTACCTACCTTAATATGTCGCCGTTCCTCCCACGTTCTGCTCTGCGGAGCACAGGTGTCTTCCGCCTTTCAGGTCCTTTCTGGGTGTAAGAAAACACTCCTCTCCGCAGGCCAAATCCAGAGCCTGGTCACATGACCCACCGTCAGCCCCCCACGTGACTGCGCAGTCAGCTTGTTCGCCGCAGTCCCCTACCACCGATGACAGTCTTCTGCCTCTGGGGTGCTTACTAGAAGACACTGAAGCTCCTTGGCCAGACAGCTGGAAGGAAGGCTGGAAGGCTGGGCTTTGCTCTGGAGGACCACTTGGCTGGCGAGGAACATTCGATGAGGATTTGGGAAATGAAGTGATTTTTAATATTTTGTATACGACTCAAGCGACATACTAAAACACACACAGGATCTGTCTTGAAACATGGTAGTAAGCAAAACAAAATTCAAACTCCAATTTGCACCACTAGGATGATCCCTGTTAAAACTTATGGTTTGCAAAGGGAGGCAAAACTGTCACTTCCATGTACCTTACCAAACTAGGATCAGGAGGGGAAAAAAAAGCATGTTGCACTGTCAGAAAAATTATACAAAACTTAGGTAAAGTCACCATTAGTTACTGGATGTCATTTCAGGGCAGTGCTGGGATGTCTATTGATTTACCTATTTTTCAACTCTGTAGACACTGATGTTAACATGTATATATTTTATTCAATAGATATGTAAATGATTTATGTCCAGTGCAATAGATAACCTTAAATATTACAATTTATTGCCCTGTAAGATATTAACTAGTTTTGTATTTAACCTGGCAGTGTTATTCTAACATTTATTAATTTCCTGTGTGTTTATAAAATTCAATGTTTTGTTTATATCTTCATATTGTGTATATTGTATATACACATATACCCTTCAACCGTTTTCTTAATCCTAGCAGTTGTTCATTAATTGTGTTGGAAAATCTTTCACATATTCTTTTTACATTTACATGAGTTGTAATTTTACCTTTGAAAATTTAGAGCATTCTGAGACAAAAAAAAAATTTTGTCATGTCTAAAAATAAAACATTTGATATTTCTCCTAAGTCTGAATTTCCTCTCCAAACCAACATATATCCCTGTCTTTTCCAATTCTCCTGACTGAAGGTATAGTGTGGTCATTTTTTAAATTATCGTGGCAAAATACACATAACATAAAATTTGCCATTTTAAGCATTTTAAAGTATACAACCCAGTACATTATCAATGTTGTACAACCATCACCACTGTCTAGCTCCAGAACTCTGTTGTCACCTCAAAAGGAAATGTTATGTTTTTTACAGTAATAATTATGTGAAAAAGGTGCCATTTTTGTACCATGAACAGACTAATATTAAACTTAACACCCTTGGTAATTTTTTTTTTTTTTTTTTTGAGATGGAGTTCTGCTCTCTCACCCAGGTTGGAGTGCAGTGGTGCGACCTCAGCTCACTGCAACCTCTGCCCCCCAGGCTCAAGCCACTCTCCTGCCTCAGCCTCCCCAGTAGCTGGGATTACAGGTGCACACCACCATGCTCAGCTAAGTTTTTGTATTTTTAGTAGAGACAGCATTTCGCTATGTTGCCCAGGCTGGTCTCGAACTCCTGACCTCAAGTGATCTGCCCACCTCAGCCTCCCAAAGTGCTGGGATTACAGGCGTGAGCCACCGTGCCTGGCCCACCCTTGGTAATTTTACTTTATTTTTTTTTTTAGACAAGGTCTCACTCACATCACCCATGCTGGAGTGCAGTGGTGTGATCATGACTCACTGCAGCCTCAACTTCTTAGGCTCAAGTGATTCTCCCACCTCAGCCTCCTGAGTAGCTAGGACTACAAGCACGTGCTGCCATGCTGGGCTAACTTTTTGTATTTTTAGTAGAGACAAGGCGTCAATATGTTGCCCAGGCTGGCCTTGAATTCCTGAGCTCAAGCAGTCCTCCCGTTTCGGCCTCCCAAAGGGCTGGGATTACAGGTATGAGCCACTGTTCCCGGCCAATTTTAATTTTTGTCTTTAAAACATTTTATGAAAAGCTAGTCTTTCTGATAGCTCATTCATTTACAACTTTGCTAAATGATATTATCTCTAACCATATTTTAACACTTATAGTTTATTCATTTATATAATTGTCCTTTCCAGCATGCTCATCTATAACTCAAGACACAAAATGTAAGCATATTAATATTTTAATTTGTCTTATTAATGTTTGTTATCTCCCCAACGCCTGTCTCTAAGCATTTTTTTTAACATGGTATATATTTTATTCCAGACTGTGAAATGTTTAGAAATTCATATTGAAATTGCATAGGAATTGTGTACATTTACAGATGTTTTAAAAATGGAATCTAATTTTCCATACATGTCACGTTTTCTGTTTCAGCAAATATAAAATAATGTCCTTTTGTGTCAATAAACCTATCCATACATAATCATTTCAACGGCTGCATGGTATTTCCTTAACACTTTCCTTTGTCTAGGCATATAAAGGAAATCATATTCCCCATTCCATTTAATTGTGCTATCCTACTCTTTCAGCGTTTAGGTAACATTGAAGTAACACCTTACTTTGAATTGTTAAATATGCAGATTTGGCTTACTCTGTTCCCCAAACTGGCCTCTTCTCAACTTTCTAACTGCATTTCTCATCAAACTCCTTTTACTTGTTTTAGGCAGACTGGGTTCATCCATGCTACCAAAACAGATTATTCAATTACACACTTTTCTTCAAACCACCACTGCCCACTTCCAAGAGCAATCTAATGATTTGTGTTATCTTACCCAGGGCTAAGATGGTAATTTAAATGGGTCCTATAAGAAGTATTAATTTTAGGTTGCTTGTTGGGAAGGCTCATAATTGGGCAAGCAGGTCGGCAACTTGTCTTGCTCTCCTATCCTGACAAATTTGTTCTATCTCGACCAATTTAAATGGGTTCCTCTTCTCGGAAGCATTCCTCAAGTATCAGAGCCCACAATAATCTCTCCCTTCTTAGCTCAAGCACAGAATTTTCTAATGAGCGCATGTTTCTCATACTAATAATTACCTATGTTTGTAAGTGCACACGATGTATCTATACATGGTTCTTAAACTGAAGAAGGGTCACTTATGCCAATTTAAACATAGAACTTTATTGAAAACACAGACTCAAATAGAGAACCATATATTTAAACAACAAATAGCAGGGTAGCTTACTTAGGTGACACAGTTCACTGAAAGCTTAATACTGAAAAATATCGCAATCTGGACAGCAAGACAAAAATATCAACAAATGTGTTTTCAGTTTTGATATTCATTTGGCATCCACAAAATGATCCAGCTCAAAACAAGAGTTTGACGAAGTTAACATAAGCATTAAAAAATGTAAGTTACAACAAAAAAACAGACTGTGAACACCAAAGCACTACTCAGGGCTCTTTGGGAACATAAGGCTGATCAGCGGCGGGTGGTTAATCATATTAACTTTGTTGTCCCACCTCAGGATCATTTTGATTGTCTATTTGGGCTTGTAGTTGCTTAGCTAACTCCTCAAATTCACGAAATGCAGAAATAAGCGGCTCAAGACTGAAATCATCGTCAATTAAGGACATCTTTCCACTTTTTATAATGTTACTGATATTCTGAAACATTTTAATAACAATTTGAATATTATCATTTGTCTCTTCTATGTTAAAGAGACCCACAAATATTGAAAGAGCTTTGGCACTGAATAGTTTTTTTGCCACAGCAGGATTTTCAGACAAATTCAACAGCATTTTCAGAACATGAAACTTTGTTCTCGCATTGGCTGTGGTTAATAAGGAGAGAAACCCGGACATATAGTTGGCAATCAGTGTGTGATAGTCAATAGTCATAGTGAGGTGTCTAAGCATCCTTATTCCAGTTAGCTGCTCAAGGGAATCCACACTATGTGCAAGGGTTTCTTCACACACTTGACATATGAATGTCTCAATCATGTTTAGATTTGGATAAGGTGGAGCCATGTGAATCATATTTTCCAAAAAACTTGTCCTAACTCTAGAGGATGGATAATTAAGCAAGGTTTCAATAAGTGAGACAACACCTGAATCTCGAATGAAATCTCGGGTAAACTGAGAAGCACTTCTCATACCCATTGCAATTTTAGATATTTCATGAATAAAAGGATCCCTAATTTTGTCCATTAATAAAAGGAGTTCTTCAAACTCTTCAGAACCAATTTTCAGCTCACATTGTATGCAGCTGCAGGACCAACCCTCAGACTCTGCACTCTCCCTGGCCTTAAGATGCTCTCGAATTTCCCGGACTGACCGGTAGGAAGGATCATACTGAAATGTGAACTCAGGATCAGGCTGATTAGGCTGAAGCAAAGATTCCTGCTCTTCCCCTTCTGGGCTAAGTTCCATGTTCTTGGGCTTTGCCTCAAGTATTTCAGAAGCCTCTTCAGGAATTCTAAAGGGGCTTGTGGATCGGAAGCCAACCCCATGAAAAAGACCAGGTTTGAATTCAACAGTGACCTCTTCCCAGGTTTGGGGCCTGGAGGATGCATTAAGTTCCTCAGCTGCATCTCTGAACCTATCACTGACCTTGTACACAGGACAGGGATTTAGGTCAAAGCAGGCCTCATCTCTGTCCCAGAACCAAGACCCAAATATGGCCTCTTCTTCAGACTCTGGCTTGGCCTCTTCTCTGGCCACAGCCCCCAAACTGGACTTTTCCTCAGCCCAGTACGTGGATCCGCCAATGGCCCCCTCCTCAGTTCCTGGCTTAGATTCACAGATTGCTGAAGCTCCACCCTCCAAACTGGCCTCTTTTTCTGCCCAGAACCAGGACCCAATAATGACTTCCTCCTCAAACCTGGGTTCTTGTTTGACCCTATCACCATCAACATCTTTCTGGACCCTGGGTTTCAAGGCGGTATTAGGATCTTCTTTGTCTTTGCACCTGAATCTACCATTGGCCTCTTCTCCAGGCAACACCCAGGACTGCTTATAGAACTCATCTTCAGACTCAGATTCAAAACAATCTTCTCTATTTGTCCTGAGCTTGGACCTGATATTTGCCTCCTCCCTGACTCTGGGCCTGAACAAGTTACTGGTATTTTCTCCAGCCCAGAAGGAGAATAGGTTGCCGGCCTCATCCTCAGATCCAGACCAGGAATCAACATAGGCTTCTTGCTTGGATCTGGGCCTGGACCTGGGATTAGTCTGATGTTTAGCCCTGTGCCTGGACCTGGTATTGGAGTCTTCTCTGGGCCATGATCTGATACTTGTCTCTTCTCCAGCCCAGAAAGAAGACACTGTAGAGGTCTCATCTGCTGACCAGAACCCAGACTCATTAGAGGCCTCCTCTCTGGCCCTGGGCCTGGAATAGCACCAAGACCCCATATTAGTCTCCTCCCCTGGTCCAAACCAGGGCTGGATTCCTTTCTGACCCTGGGTGCCAGGAAAGGTTTCAGCATCCACATCAACTAGTTCTCTATCCATAGACAGGCCCTTAGATTTATTAACTGATCCAGACTCAGCAGTGGCCACTGGCCAGGCAACGGCATTAGTCTGGGACACCCCTTCTGCCTGTGACACAGCTTCAGTCCCAAATTCACTCTGGGCCCATACCTGAGCTTCATCCTTGGGCCTTGTTCCAGGGATTGCCTTGGCATCAGTTTTAGGACGAGCACCACCTACTGCCCTGGCATCAGTTTTGGGTCTAGCTCCTGCCATTCCTTGAGCCTCCGTTTTGGGTCTTGCACCACCCATTACTTGGGCCTCAGTTTTGGGCCTTGCCCCAGACATTGCTTGGGCATCAGTTTTGGGCCTTGCCCCAGGCACAGACTTGGTCTCAGTTTTGGGCCTTGCCCCAGTAGTTGCCTGGGTCCTAATCTTGGGTCTGACCACCAGAGGGACATCATTCTCTCTCTCAGCCCCAGCGATAACCTCTTCCCCAGCCTTCTTTTCAGGCTTGGCCTGGGCACTAGGCTCAATCTCTGCCCTAGTCATGGTACAAGTTACAAAGGAAGTCCAGTAATATACTCCTCCCCCAGTCTAAACTTCAACCACAGATCTGTCACAGGTTTGTTTCTTCACACTCTGATCTTTAGGTGATTGAGGATATAAGCTTGGAAACAAGAGTTACAGTCAATATCCAGTCCAGTAGTCAATTAGCCTCCTTCCCAAACACAGTCTCAGTCAATAATTCAATAATACAGATTGAGTGTAGAACAGGCACAACCAAGCTAAAGGAAGACAATATTTCCTGGATGGGTGCAGACCTGTTGAGGGTGGTTGTCAGCAGCAACTCCACCACCAGCAGAGCAGCCACTGGAGGTAGATCTAGGGAGAGAGAATGAAATGAGGCTTTGAGTCTCTTCCAATTGTGTCACCCCATGTGCAGTGAGACTGATGTTGAATGCTAGGTGGGACAGCTGGGTTTTGAGAAAGTCTCTCTGGACCAGCTGCCTGCTACAAAACAGGTCCAACAACGGTGGGAAAGTGTGTCGGCAATGGGAGGGGCCAATAAGCCCCCAGATTGGACCCTAATCACTCCCAGACCCATGCTGGTCTCCACTACCCCACCCAAAAGCATACCCACTCTCATACCAACCTTCACTGATGTGGTGCAGTTTCCCCCTCCTTTTCTTGTTCAAGTGGTGTCAAGCCCCACAGCTGACAGAAGGGGGTCCTACAGACAAGTAAACATAAATGACAGAATGGAGTGTGAGTGCTTGGTAGGTAGGCGGGCACTCTGGCCCCTGTGACAAATATCTCTCTTCCCATTCAAGGGTTCAACGTATCTATGGTTTCCTGTATCGTAGTCCCTGCTCTCTGGTTTTTTCTGAGTCACAACCCAACCCACACCTATCTCGTGTCTCCTGCAAGAAATAAAAAGGATGCTGGCACTGTGCAAACCCGGCAGAATAGAAGTGGGTCCGCCACTTCTACTACAGGTGGAAGTGTATCTGCCACCTGCCATGCTGTCTCCAACTGTCCCCTACATTGCCCCCTCCCCCTTCTCACCAACCTCCAGAGCTGTGAGCCAGTCTCCTCCTCCTTGCCTTTCTTGCAGAACTGGCTAGCCTTAAAGTAGGCCTATGGACAAACAGATGAAAAAGTAAGACAGTCAGGATATCAGGGGTGACAGAAGAGCACTTGGTAGACAGACCAACGCCAAGGATGAGTCCCCGTATTATTGGTATGTCTTTCAACATTCGGGGTTTTGCTGGTGGAATATTCTCATTTTATTTGGGCCGTGCTTCAAGGTTCCAGAGATAACAACTCCTTCTCTTGACGTCATACTCTTCCCATTACTCCCTTCTCCAATTCTGAGTATTCACCACTAGGTGCGCCACATCCCCTTGCTCTGCGCAGCATAAAATGGGGGAAGGGCGCCGCATATTCTAGAAAACAGGTTGTGAATTGGTACTTGTCAGTATGTCTCCCTCATCACCCCTCCTTCCAAAGCCCACCCTTTCGTGCCCCCAGTTTAGGATAGTGGGGGAGGTAGGTGGGGATGGAAGACGGGGGAAGCGCCATTAGAGAGGGGAAGATTATGAGGTGCTCCTGGATGCCGGACTTGCTCTGGTCACAGTCCCCTACCCCGATTCGGGTCCCCAGTCAGTGTTTAGCGCCCAACCCCCATCCCCACACACCTCCAGAAATCCAGGCAATATTCGTGCTCTTCCTTTATCTCAAGCCTCTCCTCTACAGATGCTCACTGTGTCCTGTCAGAATACGCCAGACCTACCGCGCAGACAGAAGACTTTGACATCAACCTGGAGCCTGTGGGAAGGGAAGGCACCCAGGACATGGAGCCCCACAAGCCCCTTTTGGGAATCGGGGCCCGGAGTAGCAAACGCGGCTCACCTCCCGCGGACTGGGTACAGAGCCGGGACGCCGACACCCGCCGGCTTCCCTCGGCGCCCCCAACAACGGCTCCCGCTCCGCCATTTCTCCCGCAGGAGCCTCCCCCACAGCCCTCTCCGGGCACAGACACGGTCGAGGGCGGGGCGCGGGCGCCTGCAAAGCTGGCTGGGAAGCGGTCAGCGCGGTTCTCCTCCGAAGGATCTGACGGTGCCTCTCATGCCAGCCCCTCAGCCCTTGGCCCGGCCCGCTCTGGTCACCGCCTCCCCATCGCCAGGGGTCTCGAGCACTGCGCACCTCTCTCAAGCGCCTGGCTCCCACCGGATCGTCTCCTCGTTGCCAAGCTGTCAGGGTCCGCGGGGCAGGCTGCCTGCTGTTCCACCCTGCCGGACCACCCCCGCAACCCGGACCCCCACCTCAAGCACGCGCACTTGCCTTCAGAGGCCCAGGGCCCAGGTCGTCGGCCTCCCCCTCCTCTCCTCAGCTCTCCTCTGGCGGCTCCTCACTTGGAGCCACCTCTTTCCCCGCGATCCGAATGGCAAAGACGCGTCCCGCCCCCCACGCCTCTGCACCAAAGTAGGCAGGGGCTGCGCAGGATGCGGCAAGAGCCGCTCGCCGCGAGGGTGTCGGGAAGGGGGGCGGAGGGATACGGCGCGAAAGTGCTCGACGCCCCCTCCCAGGCCCACCGTAGTTCCGACCCCGAGGTGGGCGGAGCCAGGATGAGCCCCAGCCTGGGTGTGCGGATTGGCACCAGGGTGCCTCAGGAGGGCCCCGCGGACCCTAACGTGGCGACCACTACCATATTTCTGGCGCTGCTATAATATGTGGGACTGGCGGGCGGCTGGGGGCCCGGGCAGAGGACAGGATCGCGAGGTCTGGAAGAGCCGCGCTGGAGGGAACAGCGGATGGATACCAAACCGCCCAGTGATATGTCTGCACTCCCGCCCCAACAGCCCCCTTCACAAGGACTGCTGGGTGGCTGCCCTCTGTCTCTCCCCAGTCCCGTCACCCTCTTTGCTGGACGCTAATGGGAAAGCGGGTGTCAGCACTGCAGTGTGGGAGGGGAGAGGCGATTTCAGGCCAGACAGACCTGGGGCTCTAGGGTGGTCGTCCTGTGCGTTTCTTTCCCAGCTTCGTGGAGCCACGCAGGGGAGGAAGATACACCTGCTCTTAAGTGAACTCCGGGGCAGGGGGCTCCCATCAAGGCCTCAACACTGCCCCTCCTCTAAAAGAAGGTAGACCTAGACCTCTAACCCTAGGAAACCAACCACTGGTCTGCACCAGACTCATTTCTTTCTGCCACACTGCTCTTTCTCATTTCAAATAGTGGCTCACGTTGGCATTGCACTGTCCCTACAGTTGCCCCCAAAAGAGGACCTCTCCCTGTCAGGACCCGCAGGAGGTCATAACAGTCCTCTCTCTTTGATGGCACCAGGTAGGGATGGTCCTGGCTCCTCTTCAGTTCCCTGTCAAATCTTCTCTTGCCATGACATTTGACAGTGTGGAAATGTGGCTGGTATTCGCACCAGCTTGGATCTCAGCCACCTGCCACAACTACCTGCTGTTTCAGCAGTCATTCTCTGGAGAGGATCCCACCGTGCACCCCCCTCCCCGAGACAAAGCAACCTGGCTCCTTTTGAATCGCCCCCACATTCATCCTTTAATCTTGAGCCCCTCCTTTCCCTGCTTCCTGCATAGGACAGACAATGTGGTTAAATACGAAGTTGATGTTGTTACTGCTGTCCATTTGAAAACTCATTTAGATGCTACCCTCATTGTGTTTGGCAGGTAATGGTCCCCTAAAGATGTCCATGTCCTGTTCTCCAGAACCTGTACCATTTTATATTACCTGGCAAAGGATCATTAAGATTGCTAATCAGCTGAATTTAATTTAAGATTATGCTGGATTATCTTGGCCAATGTAATTGCAAGGGTACTTTAGATGTGGAAGAGGGAGGCAGGGACTCAATATCAGATTGAAGCACCATGAGAAAGTCTACACTGGCCATTGTTGGCTTTGAAGATGGAAGGAAGCCAAGAATCAAGAAATACAGGCTGTCTCCAGAACCTGGAAAAGACAAACAGATTCTTCCCTAGAAATCCCAGAGGGATAGCTGCTCTGGCAACATCTTGATTTTAGTATGATGAAACCCTTTGCAGATTTCCAGCCTCCAGGACTGTAAGATAATAATAAATTTGTATTATTTTAAGCCTTTCTGTATGTGGTAACTAGTTAAAGCAGCAGTATGAACCTAATACATTCACCATCCTGACGAAGTCTATTCCCCTTGACTTTCTTTACCCGTGGATCAGTCTCTGGGAAGATCTACTTTGGAGCTCATGCCTCACCACTACAAACATCAATTCCCTCTTCTTTGCTTCCTAAAGGAGAGTGATTTTTTTAATGTCCCTTATAGGTAATCTTGGAGAAAGTTCCGTTTTGCTGAAACCACTGATACTTCCCAGGTAGAAAAGGGAACCCTATTCTCCTCCTCCTCCTCCTCCTCCTCCTCCTCCTCCCTTCTTCCTTCTTCCTTCCTTTCTTTCTTTCTTCTTCTTCTTCCCCTTCTTCCCCTTCTTCTCCTTCTGCTTCTTCTTCCTTTGTTGTTGTTGTTTTTGAGAGGGAGTATCACTCTTGTTGTCCAGGTGCTGAGATTACAGGTGTGAGCCACTGTGCCTGGCCTGATACAACTTATTACTACACTATTATCTAAATTATAAACTCTTCACACTCTGCTAGTTGGTTCCAAAAGTTCCTTCATAGTCATTTTCTTTCCTGGCACGGAATCAAATATGTGTGTACGCACTGAATGTGGTGTGTCTCTTAGGTTTACTTTAATTTGAAATAGTTTTTCAGCCTTTCTTTGCTGATTTTCCCCCAAGTTCTAGTTTATTTTATGTACGCTCTCTTAGAAACCTTTGCCTACAGTCCCAGACATGAAGAAATTCTTTTTTTTTTTTTTTCTATAAGCTTTGTGGCTTAACTTCTATAGTTAAATCTATGATCTGTCTCAAATTTATCTTTTGTGTGTTGTGTGAGGCAGGAGTCAACGTTCATTTTCTTCCATATATATATCCAGTAGTCCAAGCATCATTTGTTAAAAAGACTTTCCCCAGTTGGACTGCTTGGTTCCTTTGTAGAAAAATCTAAAAATTTTATAAGTGTTGGCCAATTCCTAGGCTATTCCATTGATCTATTTATTGACCCTTACGCCAGTGCCAAACATTCTTAATTTTTGTAGCTTCCTGGCAAGTATTGGAGTCAGGTAAATACATCCTCCAACAGTGTTCTTCCTTTTCAATATTTATTGAAGAAGTTCCCTTCTTTTATTTTTCTTCCTCCTTAGTTTTCTGACTTTTTTTTCCATAATGGATAGGTGCTGAAATTTGTCAAAATTTTTTGCATCTATTGAAATGATCATATCAGTTTTCTTCTTCATTCTGGTAATTACCTTGATTTTCAAATGTTAAGCCAACCCATAATCGTGCAACAAATCCCATTGTTCATAATCTATATTTTTATATTTTATTATATATTTTTGGATTCAAGTGTTTGATAGTCACTTGATGACTATTGTGGGTAGTGGGGCAATTCTGGACACCACAAATATAGAATATTTTCATCATCATAGAAAGTTCTATTGGACATCTCTACAGTGATCTATTTCTAAATAATTTCATATTATTCCTTCACATGTAAAATCCTTCATGAGTCATCAATATCTATAGGATATATGTGTTTTTGTCCAGCCTCAGTATACCTCTTGATCTCATTTTCTTATTATGTTTCCACACTTTCTTTCTTCTCTTGTCAATTTAGTTGCAGAATGCTTATGGTTTCATCGTGCTAGCTTTCATGTTAATCCTCTCTGGAATGCTGTAACACTTCTCACTTTTATTGTACACACAGTAGTTTGGTCTAGTCCTTTTTGGTTGTCATCAAGTCCTTTTTTTCTCTTACTCTCTTACCCCAATAGGTTAAGGAGTTAGCCAAAGTATTGTTATAAAAAATACACACACCATTTTCTAAGCAAAAGGCTTTCTGTGCGAGTGTAGTTTGACGATATAGAGTACAGTGAAGTTTTAGGCATAAACACATCAAAGCCTTCAGCAAGTTGAACTTTTGGATCTGAGATAGGTAATTCAAGAACAATGCTAAATCCTAGAATGTAGTTCTCCTTAGTGAAGGTGTGCTCGGCTGCTTGGAGAACAAACTGTTCAGAGGCCCCTCCTGACTTCTTCTCTATGTAAAACTCATGAGCTTCTGTTTCACAATGAGAGGTTCAATGGTCTTTGGGGGCACTTTTTCATTTCTCATGTGTGAAATACTAGTTTGTTGAGAGCATATAAGGGCAATTTTGAAGGATTTTCTATGTAGACAATAATGTCATTTGTGGGCCAGGTGCGGTGGTAATCCCAGCACTTTGGGAGGTGGGAGGATCACTTGAGGCCAAGAAGTTCGAGACCAGCCTGGCCAATACGGTGAAACACCATCTCTACTAAAAATACAGAGCTAGACTCTGTCTCAAAATAATAATAATAATAATAATAATAATAATAATAATAATAATAATAATAATGTCATTTGTGAACAAAGATAAGTTTATTTCTTCCTTCCACATCTGTGTACCTTTTGAGTTTATTGTTTTACTGCATTAGCTAGGACTTCCAGTACAATGTTGAATAGGATTAGTGAGAAGGGACATCCTTGGTTTGTTCCTGATCTTTGCAGGGAAGCATCTAGTTTCTTACCCTTATGATGTTAGCTGTAAAGTTTTTGTAGATGTTCTTTATTAAGTATAAAGAGATCTCTCTGTCTTACTCAGTTCAGGTTGCTATAACAAAATGCCATATACTGAGTGGCTTAAATAATAGACATTCATTTCTCACAGCCGTGAAGGCTAGGAAGTCTAAGATGAAGGTGCCAGCAGATTTGGTTGCTGGTGAGGTCTCACTTCCTAGCTTGTTTTCCTAGCTTTTGTTTTCATTGAGTTTTTCCATTGATTTCCTATTCATTCGTTCATTCACCTTCTCATTGTGTTCTCACATGGTTATTCCTCAGTGTGTGCATGTGGTGGTGGGGGGGGTAGGTGGGGAGAGAGACAGAGAGATCAAGCTCCCTGGTGTCTCTTTATAAGAGCACTGATCCCATTTTGAGAGTTCCATCTTCATCAGATAATCTAAACCTGATTAACTGCAAAAGGTCCCACCTCCATATGCCATCACATTGGTTGTTGGAACTTCAATATACACATTTGGTGTGGGACATACACATTTAGCCCATAACACCTCTATCCCTAGTTTTCCCAGAGTTTCTCTTTTTAAAATCATGAATGGGTGTTAGATTTTGCCAAATACTTTTGCTGCTCTATTGATGTAATAATGTCATTTTTCCTCTTTAGCCTTTTGATGTGATGGATTATATTAATTGATTTTTGAATGTTGAAACATTCTTGCATACCTGGAATAAATTCTACTAGGTTGTGGCATATAATTCTTTTTATACATTGTTGGATTTGATGGGCTAATATTTGTTGAGAATTTTTACATTTATCTGTGTAAGAGATATTGGTCTGTTTTACTTTCTTGTAACTTTTTTACCTGGTCTTGGTATTTGGGTAATGCTGACCTCATAGCATTTTTTTTTTTTTTTTTTTTTTGAGACGGAGTCTCGCTCTGTCCCCCAGGCTGGAATGCAGTGGCGCGATCTCGGCTCACTGCAAGCTCTGTCTCCCGGGTTCACGCCATTCTCCTGCCTCAGCGTCCGGACTAGCTGGGATTACAGGTGCCCGCCACAGCACCTGGCTAATTTTTTGTATGTTTTAGTAGAGACGGGGTTTCACCGTGGTCTCGATCTCCTGACCTTGTGATCCGCCCGCCTCGGCCTCCCAAAGTGCT